CGGCATGCGGGATCCTCCCAGACCGGGGCACGAATCCGCGTCCCCTGCATCGGCAGGCGGATGCTCAACCACTGTGCCACCAGGGAAGCCCAACTCTTATGATTTTTTAAGATGTTCTTAATCTTCTTCATGTACATTTAAATTGAAGTGAATATCCTGATCAACATATTTACCCTTCACAGATTTCATTACATAAAGAGATGTTCAGAAAGACTCCAGGATTATATACAGGTGCTTTTCTACAATACAATTATACTCATCTTTTAATGCACGATGGAATCCAGGAAGAACAGTAGGTCTCCACATAAACGATCTTTGGCTGTGGTCAATGTAGATCAAAGTCATGTTCAAATACCGTTTCTTTGGCTCTTAGGAACTGACCGAAGGTGCAGGAACTGACCACATGCTGCAGCTCTCTGTCCATGAGCACAAGACGGATTTCTGGAAAAGCATTCCTCTCTTTCATTTACTTATTTTCATCTCATTACACAGAGGATTGTGGGTGTTTTCACTGCAGCACTGTGAGATCTTGGGCATCCTGCTACTTTGGTGTTTCAGTTTAGAATGTTATAACCTTAAGGCTTATATGACAAACATAAACAAGCCAAATGAGAACTCCTGTTGGCAAAATGATTTTCAAGAGTCCTTCTAACATGCTGTTGTCTGAAAGCAAATTTGAATGTCCTTTGTCTGTAGGTATGTGTTAGGCACATAGAGAAGATCTAAGAGGAAATATACAGAAATGAAAATGTGAAGGTGGTGGAATTATGAATGGTATTTTTTCAATATATTTTTATTTAACATTGTTATATTGTTTTCACAATAAAAGTTTGAATGCTTTTATCATCTAGAAAATACTAGTTATTAAAATATAAATTTTAACAGTTAGGGTCTCATTTATAATGAGAAACAATTTCAGAACACACATCCCCTCCCCCACCCCGCCAGGCACCACAAACAGGCAAAGCAAAACTTTTGGAATCTTACCTGCAGGGAATCAGAAGCACGTTTTGAAATGCAGCATCAAGACAGAATAGCATCGAGGTTAGGAGCACTGACTATGGAATAGGGTACCCCTGAGTTCAAATCCATTCTTTTTTTTTTTTTTTTTTTTTTTTTTTTTTTTTTTTTTTTTTTTTTTTTTTT